CTTACTTAATGACAGTGACAAGAGTAATAATGTGACCCGCTCACAATCCCAGAGCAAAGGAGCCAGCTGAGCTCTTTCTGCTGAGGAGGCCAAGTGTCTGACCTTCTGACATTGCTAGCCGATGGGGTCACTTGAGTTCAGAACAAATGTTCACTGAAGCCTGCACACCGTTGACAGAGAGCTGATTGGCTCCTTTTGGCCTGGCTGATGGGTTGCTAGGTACCCTCTGATTCTAAAGCGGCTCAACCAACGCAATGAGAACTTGATGGGATTTCACAATGTTAGCCAGTGTGGCCCTTAGCCTAGACTCTTTTGTGAGGCTACTCATGAGCACTGCCAGCCCATTCCTCTAGGGACATCCCCAGCCCAGGGCCCTCCCCAGAGCGGGGCTGCTCAAGCTATCCAGTTTTGGGCCCTGTTCAAGTTCTGAGCAGTTGTGCTCAGGATGCAGGCTGAGTGTTCTAGTGCTCTGCTTGCTTTGTTTTACTCATTCGGCAGTATTGGATCTGACTTGAGCATGGTAAAGAGTAGATCCTGGAGGACATACCCACTAGGCATAGTCCAGGCTGTCTGGCTGAGCCATCTGTCATGGAAAGTTGGTTTCAGAGAAAAAGCTTTTCAACAGCAGTACAGGAACCCATTTGGCTCAGCAGCTGCCACTTTGGGAGCTGCCAGCTGGAGGGTCCTGGTCTGGTGACTAGCTGTGGATGCTCCTGGGGTTCCCCTTGGGGGAGTCTCTGAGAAAGAAGTTCACTGTTCAGCACATCTGGTACACTCAGCCCACAGTTACTGGCTTCTAACAGCTGGACTCTTGAACATACCAAAAATTCGTAGGACAGCTTTTTTTTTGGATATCTGAGTCACTTGCCTGCCTTGAAATCTAACATAAATGCTGATTTAAGGATGCAAAGAGACAAATAGTGTTATATTTTTCACCAGTTCCCTCCCTGTCTCCCTTCCCCTATCATGGAAGTGGAATAAATGTATGGAACACAATGGAGCTGGTGACAAACCTGCTTCAGTTCTGGAACAGTGAAAAGAATGTGTATTTAGAATTTGGAAGATAATATAGTTTCAGACTTGCCTCTCTGTCTGAGCAAGTCATTTAATTTGGTTGATTCCCTTCATGAGCTGTGTAGAGACAGGGTATCACTGTGTAGCCCAGGCTGTTCTAGAACTTGTGATCCTCCTACTTCCACCTCCCTAGTGCTATATTACAGGCATGTACCACCCTGCCCAGCTTTAAAGTAAGTAAATAAATAAATGATGAAATAATGTTTTCAAAATACCGCATGAGTAAAGAAATTATAAAATCACCTTCACTGATTCTTCCATGTGTTTTCTTCTTTTTCTGCAGATACCTTGTATTGACCTCATCTAATTTGGTGTTCAGATAGCAACCCACAGTCCTAGCAGGCTTGTTCTGCCCTTCTCCCTTTTAATATGTGCTAGAAGTGGCAAGGACAGAATTACCCTAGACATACTGCGTTAAGTACGGAGATGTTATGCAAAGCTAGGCTGAGCTCAGGCTCCCCTGCGCAGTGTCAGCTGTCAACTGGCCCAGGGCAGCTGCATAAAGGGGGCCCTGGTGTTGGAATCCTGCTTCCAGTGCCCTATGCCTTGGACATCACATTTAACCTCTCTTTGCCTTAGTGTTCAGCAGAGCTGGTATATGTGTAATTTCCATCATACACGGTTGCAATAACCAAATGAGTTAATTTTAAAGGGCTGAACCTGGTGTCTAGCATGTGAAGAAGCTGGGCTTTTGTTGCAAAAAAAAAAAAAAAAGAAAAAATTGCTCTAGCCCAAACTAGCTTTGAACTCACAATCCTCCTGTCTCAGCTTCAAAGTGCTCCAATTACAGGTATGGACCACTTACCTGGCTGTGTGTTTGGTGGCACTGGAAGTTAAACCCAGTTCCATTGAAGCCATTTTTAACTGTACATGCAGTTGCGTTGAGCATGCTCATGTTTGGGTAACCAATCTTACTGTCCGTTAAGCAACTCCCTATTTCCCCTTCCCTCAGCTGCCATCCAGCTTTCTCTCCATGAATTTGGCTACTCTAGATACCTCATGAGTGGAATTGTACACGATTTGTCTTTTGGTTGCCAGAAGTCTTAGCCCACTGTAACAATCGTACCTGCTCCCATTTTTAGCTTTTTGTAGCCTAACAGTTCCCTGACTTTTCAGATCATAATCATTAGTGAATTACTTTCTTATGAAAAAGTACAGGAAATATTGAATTAATTTATAAAAAGAAGCTCATTTCATTCTTTGGAAGACGGGTGCAGGATTAGTGAAAAGAACACCAAAGTAGAGGGGATGGAGATGGGCGTTACATATAGCAGAGTGGAACCTCTGTAGAATGCCTCCCTTCCTTTTTTCCTCCCTAGCGAGTATGTACACAAAAATAGAATACCAAGTCCTGTGTATCTGTTGCTGTGATTCAGCATATATCTGGATTTTTAAGGGCCTGTTTCTAACATGGTCCAGGAGGAAGGAAATAACCTTAACAGTCTAGATTATCCTAGAGGCCACTTGCCTTCCTTGATTATGTGGTATTTATCTCCTGAGTGATAACAGGTATCTTCTGCCTGCGACTTCTCATTACCTTTAGGTTGAGGTGAAGAGGAGGCAGGACCAAGAGATTGTAGGCAAGTCACTTAACTTCAGCTTGCACATGTGACTTACAAGAGTGTTTGTAATGGCGCATTTGGCATGGGCCTGCACCTGATAAGCATTGGGTACAATATTAGCAGTGGTGGTTGTCGGGGACGATGTGTCTGTGGAAGGGAAGGGTCACCAGCCAGGTCTTTGAAGATACAGGACAAAGTCATGCAGCCATTATTTCTCAATCAAGAATTACAGTGAGCAGTAACTTTGTAGAATTGTACTCAACTGTTTGCTAACTCAGTGTTCTAAGTCTGCCTGGATTAAGAGATACAACTGTGTATCATTCATTAAGCAGGGTATCTTCTTTATGGTGGTGGTGGGATTGCTGTTCACTTCAAAATCATTTAATGGGTTGTGACTTAAATTTTAGGGAAACCCATGATTTGAGTGACCTTATAAACAGTATACATCTGGCTCCATGAATCTCTCTTTTTATTTTTGTTCTTTGAGCTTCAAGAAGGAATTCTATATATTCGTAAAGGCTAAAGGTTCAGCCCTTTATCCTCCTAACAACCTTAGGATGCAAGAAACATGTCAGTTAGGAAAAGGAAATTAATGGCCTGTGGAAGTTTAAAAATCTATAGTTTATGATTGTATAGAGCTTTGTGTTTTGCTGTAGCTTATTTGAGACAAGATCTCACTGTGTAGCCCAGACTGGTCTAGAACTCACTTGGGTAGCCCAGGCTGGCCTTAAACTTGTGGTTTCTTGCCTTAGCTTCCCTAGTACTTAGATTATAGGTTTGTGCCACATGCCACCACATTCTCAATTTTGAATTAAAATCATGTGCAAGTTTTAGTTTTCTATGTATGATTTTCTTTTTGGTGGTGGTGGTGGTGGGGGAGCAAATCTGCAGCCCCAAAGTCTAAAGTTTTAAAATTCTCAAGTATGTAAATATGCAAAACTATTATGCAGGTAAAACATTGCTTACAAATAATTAACAACTATGTTAAACTATTATTGCTCCTCCAAATATTTTATTTGGTTTGTGTTACAACTTGTATAATACAGCATATTGTGCAAAACAGTTTAATTTGCATGGACCAGTGCAACAAGAATGGCCAGTTTTTCTCAATGCTCAAATCAAACAACTTCATAAGAATTGTAACTAAGACATTTTTGTGTTTTTTTTTCCTTGTTAAAATCAGTTGGTAAAGTAAGTTCAATAGTAAGCCTTTTAAGATTGAGCTCCCCAAACCTCTCAAGTATATTGCTTTTTCATTGGTTAAAGATTAGGTCAACCAGACCCATAAGGAGCCTTGTTGTGGCTTCCGGAGTTTTTGGAATACATTTTTGAGCCAATCTTTGTTATCAACCGAAAAAAAGAAACGAGTTAATTGATAGATATAATACTTCACTCTCATTCTTTTGAATTCACTTTTTATAATTTTCCTTTTATAAATGGTATATGTTATTAAGTACAGAAAGAGGTAATGTATTAGTACCAGCATAACACAGAGCATGTAGGCTTCATTTGGAATTGGCTCCCCACTCTGTTGGGATACCCCAGAGTTGCTTTAGGTATTAGTGATGTTTGTGTCCACATCTCTCCCTATGTGGTGAACACACATTTATGAAAAAGCTATCACGTTTTCTGTGTAGGTGAAAAAGTCCATGATGGAGGGCTGGAGCAGAAGTAACCAGCAGAGGCCAGGATGAAACCATTGCCTTGACCTTGTGCTAGCTCTTTGGCTGTGGTTTTGATTCTATGATAGAGATGGGCTGAGGATGTCCCATGATGCAATCACTTAAAAAATTTTTTTTTGGTGGTACTGGGGATTGAACCCAGAGCCTTGTGTTGAGCTACACCTCCAGCCCTTGGTTTCTTATTATGAGATTAGAGTGGCATTGAACTTGCCATCCTCCTGCTTCTTAAGTGCTGGGATTACAAGTGTGCACCAACACACCTGGCCACACAGTCACTTGGATCCTGAGGTCCTTGACCCATCAACACAGTGCCAGTGTACCGTTGTTTCATTTTTCTGGTGTCTTGTGATATACCAGGGCATAAGCAGGCAGAATAAATGGCTGCTGCTTTCTCAGTGGCTTTGGGGAAAACTTTTGAGAGGAGTAGTACTGCACTAATACCTCCTGCCTTCTGGCACTGTGGTTATGTGAAAATAGTAACTTGTGCTAAGGAGGGGGAGAGAAGGATTTGTGGGATGCTTAGACCTCCCTCAGCAAGCATGTCCTTCTCCCTTAGCTCCTAACCCACCCGGCAGCCTTTGGATGCTGCCCTCCCAGCCCTTTCTCAGAGAGTGTGTGGCTCTGGACCTCCTTTCTCCCACATTCTCCCCTTATTCCTTGGTGTCCTCTTCTCTTCTTGCAGTCTTCCGTATGTGCAAAGATTGTGCAACTCCTGGGGCAGAATGAGGTGGACTATCGCCAGAAGCAGGTGGTCATCCTGAGCCAGGATAGCTTCTACCGTGTCCTCACTTCAGAGCAGAAGGCCAAAGCTCTAAAGGGCCAGTTCAACTTTGATCACCCGGGTGAGTGGGGGAGTTGACTGGGGTATGTGTGTGGATGGGGGTATGTTTGGAGGGGCAGGGGGCAGTAGTTTTGTCCTGCACATGAGGGAGTACTTAGCTGCCCTGAGTCTCCATCCGATTTATAAAACAGGGATCTTACAACTACCTTTCAGGGTTTTCATGGGGCTTATAGGAAAGGAGGGCTCATTTAGCACTGACTGAGTCTGTATCGAGTGAAGGTGACTTGTGAGCTTGGGACTTGGGCTGGGCCAGCCCACACACACAGGAGCACACACACACACAGCCAGTCCTTCTGCCTCCTCTGATCTGCAGCAGCCTGTGTCAGCCCCTCCTCCCCACCCCACATGTGGGTACACGGCCTGTGTGTTCAGCTCACTGACCAGCACAAAGGAAGTTGGGGGGCTCAGGGTGACTGCCTGAAGTCCTGCTGACAGCCCAGATCTGTGCACCGCTCCTTCAGCTGGTTTAGGTTTCTCATAAACAGTAGAGTTCGCCCTTTGTGGCATGGGGCCTGTCGTCCTCACCTAGTGGTGAGTATGCCTCCCTGTTAACATGTGCTGATCTTGGCCAATAGCTGTACTTAGAGGGAGGAGAGATGTCAAAGCCACGAATGGAATGTCAGGAGAAAAACAGAGGTTGGTTTGCCAGAACTAATTTTCACACACCCTGTTTCAAAAATCAAGAAAGCTCTTTCATTTTTCTACTTTGGGTGGAAATCGGTTTTGAGGGGTGATTATGCCTGTCTAGGTGTGATGTGCATATATGAAACACAGGTTCGTGGGGACGCCGTGTACATGACTATAGGAGAAATTAGTTTCAAACTAAGAAATATGTTAACAGTTTGATTTTCTTCAGATGCCTTTGACAATGAACTCATCTTCAAAACACTCAAAGAAATCACCGAAGGGAAAACAGTGCAGATCCCTGTGTATGACTTTGTCTCCCACTCTCGGTAAGTGGGCTGTTCTGGGCTGGAGGTTGCTACCCACTGTAACTCAGAACATTTCCTGGTGTGTGCTTAGACCCCCGTCCCCAGCTGATGCACTCAGGCCACTGTCCTAACCCTGCCCCATGCCACTGCAGCTGTCAGTAGAAGGGACAGTGCTGCAGTGTGTGATGGGGCTTTGCACAAGTGTTTCCTGGAAAGGCCTGGCCTTTCTGAAAAGAAAAGAAAGGCCCATCACAAAGTTAACCAAACAGTCCTGAAAATTTTGTGATCAAGACAAACCGGTCCTCTCCAGTGAAGTGGAGCGGTGGTGATCCTGATTAGGACAAAACTAATGACTAGATTTATAGCTTATCTTCCTCTGAGGGGTGGAAATGGGTTCCTGGAGCATTCAGGCCTGCTGGCCAGACCCCTGGCACCTTCAGAGCTGTGCAGAGCTTTCTGCTCATTCTGTCCTGCGGTTAACATAAAACCTCTTAGAACTCCCAGCCTGTGGACTGTTGTGAACATTTCTCGCATAAGCTCTGTGGAGTGTTCTTCCTCTCTCGTTTCATTATCCCATTCTCTCTTGAGTTAATTTTTTGAAAAGGAAATTAGATCTCAATATCTGTCCCTTACCAGATGTTCCCACGTTTTTAAAGCCAGTTATTTCTCAGCAAGCTCCTGCACTGCACATCTGAGTCAGCCCTTAATGCAGCACACACACACCTGTGCCTCTCTCACAAGCCAGAACATGAGAGTGTGGCAAGGATTGGATTGGAGGAGGATGAGAGGGGGAGAGCACTTGGAGATGCACAGTGGGGCTGTTTTGCTGCTTAGCCTACCTCCCACCAGTGTCTCCGAAGTACATCCCAGGGCCAGATCCAGCTGGGTGGAAAGTTCAGAGATCAAGGCACCAGATATCATGTCTCCTGTGTTGGTCTTCTACTGAGCCCCTACAAATTGTGCAGGAATAATGGGATTTAGTGTAGGAATTAGAGCTTTCCTGATTGTTGGAGGCTGAGAAAGTAATGACTTTTGAAGGTCAAAGGATAAAACACCTATCACACTTTTCCAGCCTGATCATTGAAGCAGAAGCTAAGATTCATGGAAAAGTCTTAAGAAACAACCACATCTGGGCCTCCTCAAAGTGGGGCCTTGTGGAGTGTTTGCAAAGTGTCCCTGTCTCACTTTTACAGTAACTTGAGCATTGTGAATTTTACCTCTGTCAGCTTCTAAGTCTTCATTAACAGAGTAATTAGGAACCACACAGGGAAAAGGATTCTGACAAGAGACACCCCAGCCCACCACTTCCTGAGTTTAAGGAAAGACTTAGAGTGCAGCAGGACAACTAAGGCAAGAGCCTGTGAAGAAGGAAGGATGGGCTGGAGGACTTCGAGCAGGTTGTACAGAAGAGGTGGTATTTAAATGATAGGTTGGAAAGATAAGAAGTTGGGGGAAGGGATTTCCAAGCAGCAGATAGGGAAGCTTTTCAGGGATGGGCATGCACCAACTTGGTGGACACCTATAGCTGGGGTAAGTGAGGATTGGGAGCCCGTGTGTGGAGAGAGGGTCAGCAGGTGGAGGAGGTGGGGAGCTAGGCTTCAGATAATGCAGGGCCATGCATGTCAGGGGCAGGAGCACGAATGTGTTGACAGCAGAGAGCTACCATTGTCTCTAATGTAGGAGTGGAAAGATGACTGATGTAGGAAGAGAGGAGACCCAGTAACATTTAAGATCCTTATAAATGGTCAGGCCTTTGGAAGAGCCCAGGCATTGGAAGTGAGGGTTGTTGACAGAAGTCAGGGCTTGACTAGTGTCCAGGGAGGAAAGTGGAAAGGGAAGTGAGATGCTTCATGCACTATGAGTTCCATCAAGTTCATATATTAACAACAAAAACCTTGGTAGAATTCTCAATACAGGCATTTTTCACCTTTTCTCTTGATTTTAAAGCCTTATATTTAAAAACCTTACTCTTTAGTGGCCCACAGCCCATCTCTTCTGGGAACGTTTCCTGACAACCTCAAACCACAGCAAACCCCCCCAACTCTTAAGGGCTACTTGTTCGGCATCTGGCCTTTTAGGGTTAACTGTTCATACTCCACGTAGCCCAGGTTGTCCTTGAACTCAGGATCCTCCTGTCTCAGCCTCGTAAATGCTGGGATTACAGGTGTATACCACCGTGTTCGGCTAAAGAGTTTTTTTTTCCTTTTTTAGTGGTGCTGAGGATCAAGCCTCAGGGCCTTGCACATGCTAGGCAAGCACTCTATTGCTGAGCTACATCCCATGGGCCTTTGGTAACAGACATTTGCACTCACAATAAGAAGACACCTATTTGCACATAAACCCTTCTCTGGGCATCTTCATTAGTCAAATGAAACAGTTGGCTTAGGTTATCTCAAATGGTTTGACAGTCTAGATTTCTTTCTGGGACTTCCAGCCAGACTCTTAACTTCCTAGATGGTATGGCCTCTTGCATTTTCTGGGCAGTAGTTAGTTGCTCAATAAATTTTTTTTTTTAGTTCTGAGTTGTTTTGAAACATTTTCCCCTTTAGATCTCAGTGGATTAGGGAAATGATTAATTCCACCTTCTTAGGGTGCCAGCAACAAAGCAGGCTGTTACTATCTTCTTCCTGGGAAGCTGCCTAATTTCTTTTTTAGTGTTTTATCAGGCGTGCTGGTAAGAATATCTTGCAGTGTCCATAGATTCCAAGCCTATCATAGTCATTGCCCTCTCTGTTAGTGTATTTTTTCAAATTGAATCCCAGAAATCCCATAAATCTGTTTCCCAGCAGAACCCTCTCCCCTCTCCTTAGTATAGGGCAGTTGTCTGCAGTGCCTCACTATTTCACTCTTTGATCTGTTTTCCTGTGTATATCCTTGTCCTAAGCACAGTGTGCACTTGCTGTTTTCTGGCAGCAGACATTCCTCTAAACTGGTGTTTCTCCATCCTGGCTGCATGCTAGAAATACCTGGGGAGCTTTTAAGTTTTTAATTTTTTATTTTTAGTTAGTTAGTTTGTTTTGTGGTGCTGGGGATTGAACCCAGGACCTTGCAAGCATTGTACCACTAAGCTATATCCTAGCTCCTAGAGTTGGGACCAGGTATAAATGTTTTTAATACCCACCTTCCCTCCTACCCCCCACGTGATTTGCATGTGCATCTAAGCCACTCCAGGGATCTGGAGACTCTTCTGTTGTACTCACCTGTTTCCTTTTCTTGCTGTCTCCCATGGCCCATGTCCTGCCTCTTGATGGTTACTCTAGCGGTAACGCTAAGACTTACATGCAATCCAAAGGATCCAGCCTGAGCATGTTTATGGAGGGGAGTTCTAACACCATCCTCTCAGTGGGTCATCGCTCTGTGTTTGTACAGATGGAACTGTTACTATCTTAAGGACCTTTAAAAAATGTCTTTGATTTGGTTTTGTTTACTTACGTTAGCTCACCTGCTAGTCAGGATGAGTAATAAACCTGGAAGTGGTTAATTCTCACTGCCTTTTCAGTGAATTTGGACTGAGAGACAGTTGGGGACCTGCAAGGAAGGTCATTGGAGAGACTGAAGGGGCAAGAATACAGTGGAAAGTGGAGGCAGAGCAGACCCCAGCAGGCTACTGTGCTGGCTCGTGGAAGAGCCACGTCAGACAGAACTCAGGACTTGACTTTATGCCAACACTTTCTCACCCATCTCCTCCTTTCCAATATTTTTCTTTTTTCTTCCTTCCCCTCTTCCCTGTGGTCCTTTCCTCCCTCTGTTCAGTTGCCTCACGTCTGGGGGAGGGGTGGGGATGGTAGAGAGAACTGAGTTTCTGTTTTTTAAAGTTCAGTATTAGGTTGCAGAAATGCCAGGCATGAGAGCATTCCTGGAGACGCCTTCAGAAAACAAGAATTCACATCTGCTTTTGTCTGTCTGTATTCTTCATTCCAAAGTAGTTTTTTTTTTTAATTTTAATTTATGTTTTTATTCCAAGAAAATGGACATCTGCCTCTATTTTTGTTTAATGGCAAAAGCTCAGAAGAACTGGTCAAAGGAGACCTTTGACCCAGCTATGCTTGCTCCTTCTTGGCCCTTTCTTTGGTGGTGGTCTTAGGCCTCTGTGTGGCTGTGAGCCAAGCCCTTTTGCCTTGCTCTGATTGAGTCTGGGGAGGGAATCCAGGGCCCTAATCCAGCAGATCTCTGGCCCTTGCTGTCTCCCTTGCTCACCATGTTGGCAGGCCAATCACCTGCTTTGTGCTTCGCAGGAAAGAGGAGACAGTCACCATCTATCCTGCAGACGTGGTGCTCTTTGAAGGGATCCTGGCCTTCTACTCCCAGGAGGTCCGGGACCTGTTCCAGATGAAGCTTTTCGTGGATACAGATGCGGACACCCGGCTCTCCCGAAGAGGTGCGTTCTGAAGGCCTCTAGCGGCCTTGTTGGTGGTCACTTTGAGGGCAAGGGAGCTGGGAGCCTGTGACAGGGACCACCCTCTGAATCTCAAGATAGGCCTTCCTTAGGCAACTGGGTGGCCCCATGGTCCGTATGCCAGTCCAGCCCCAGGACATCCTGCTGTCCAAATGTTTGGTGACATTTGAGAAGGGATTAGTCACTTAACTGTTTTGGATAACGAAAGGCTTGTGAGGTGAAGTAAGAAGTTGACGTTCTGGTTTCACTGGGAAAAATCTTAATGAAGCATCTAGTTCCTTAACGATTTTCTATAAGACATCAAAATAAAGATACCGTGATTTTGGAACCAACTGTAGGACACTGGGGACAGGAACCCCTGTGCCTGCAGCAGTGGGCAGCTCATCCTACAACCTGCTTATGTGTGCTGTCATCCTCTCCAGCCAGCCTGGAGCAGAGTCCTCCTGTGGGCCTAACTGAGTGGGCACCTGTGGTGCACAGAGCCCATGGACCTGCTGAAGCCACAAAAGTGCTCTCTGGTGGAGGTAGGAGATTCTGAGCTCTATGGGACTCTGGGGGAGAGAGCAGAGCTTCCATAAAAAAGAGGGTAAGGATGTAGATACAGGGTGGGGCAGGGGTGTAGGCAGTCTGAGGCATTGTTCATGCATGGACAGACAGACAGTGCCATGCTCCAAGTGGCAAGTAGCTGGAATATACAGAGGGCTGTATAAGGAGACACTAGAAAGTACCTCGGGGCCAGTTTGTTGGGACCAAGACTTCCATAAACATCCTGAACTGCTATGGGACTTGAACAGGGAAAGTGACGTGGCCACTGCCTTTCATTGGAAGAGTATCCTGACAGCAAATACAAGTGAATATTGCAGCTGAGGAAGCCATTTGAAGACTGTTTGACTGATCTGGACCAGAGACAGGGCTGTTGTCCTTAGGTGGTGGGGCAGGGAGAGATGAGAATTAACAGGGCTCAGTAAGTGTAGCAAGATGGAGGTGACAGAAAAGAGGAATTAAAAATGACTAACATTTGAGACTTCATTGTGTGAAAGAGGGACAGAGGCAGGAAATGACGAGGTTTGCTTCTAGCCATAGAACAAATTATTGGCAGATACACATTTTGTAAGTTCCTCGCCAGAGGCTTCTGAGCTCAAATTCTGTGTAATTTTTTTCTTCTTTCTTCATGAAACAAACCTACAATTTATCCAATTTAGTAATATAATTGCAAGAGCTGTTAATGGACCCAGGAGATTAGGTAAAGAAACACTTCCCTAGGTTTGCCCTTCTAAGAGTGACATGATCCACACACTCGTAGCTCAGTGGGATCCATACGTCCACTCCAGTTGGGGAGAGACACAGGTACTATTATGCCAGCCCCCCAGCTGGCTTTGTTAGGTTCACCAACAAACAAATGTCTCTTGAGACACCCCAGGCTTGGATTTCTTTATGGGGGCTATGAAACAGACCTGATATTAGTGTTTTGACACTGGCTGGGTAGAGTTTCATGGTCTCTTTTGGTGGGTAATTGAAGCCTGAGCCAGACTCTCCACACAATACTTCTGCTCAAGTGCTGGCTTGTCACTTTATCCATAGGCACTACCTCGCTTGATTACTTGGTATCCCTGTGGTTGCCACATTGGGGAAACAGCGTTTTGCATTAAGAAATAAATTTTTGGAGTTAGGATGGGCTGAGATCTCAGATTCACCACTTACTGGGTGTGTGGCCTTGGGAAAATTCAGTTTTAACTTCTTGTTCTGTGTTTCTCTATAGATGATCATCTAACAGTACTTCTGAGATCATTAGGAAGATTAGAGGTAGGGCAGGGAAAGTGCTTAGCAGTGTACTCTCATCAAATCTCTACTTGGTAGATCAGAAATCTGCTTTTGCTCAGGTGACTGGTGCTTTTCTGTCTCCTAGAGTTCTGCTGTGGGCTCTCAGTGCCTCTCAGTGAGTCTGGCTGGGCCACGTCCTCAGCAGGTGGTGTTCACTGGGCTAGTGACAGCACTAGTTTGGCAAGTGAGACTCAGCCTCAAGGATATGGTGATGCTGGAGGAGGCCTTGCAGGAGGGAGCACAAAGACAAAGCCTGGGGAATTAGAACCAGGCTTGGTTTTAGAGTGGGAGCAAAATTCTTGGAAACAGAGTGAGACTTAGTATCTAATTAAAACATGTCATTAACGTGTTTAACAGATTAAATGGATTAAACAGACCATTCTCCCTTCCTTTCTTGGCCTGAGATCCTTCTGTGAAGTGAGGGAACCCCCTGAGCTGTCTCCCCATGGGTCCTTCCACTCCCGGTGGTTCTTGGGGGCAATTCTGCCAGCCATCGCCTACCCCAGGCTGTCTGGGCAGGTCGCTGCCTCCTTGTTTGAGACCTGCTGTCTTCATAAGTCATCTACTCTCGAGTCATTTCCTGGTAGACTTGTGGGACTTTTCCATATGTTATTTGTACAATTTCATACTCTGTCCACATAGGATCAAAAAATCCAGACTGCTTGGCATGTGTTTGGTGGGGTCCGGGGCTGCTGCAGGGCAAGGGAGGGATGGGTGAGTCAGGAGCAGCTGTTAAGACTGAAAACATTCCTGGAGATGTGACTGAGCCCCATGACTTTATCCCTCTGTTTGTTACACCCTGGGTCTGTGACCATCACATTGCAAGGTGATCCTTGTTGGGGAAGGAGCTGCCTTGGAGTCATACAGCTTCAAGGGATTGCAGGTCCTTCCTCTGGAACCTCTTGTACTTAGGACAGTTTCACAGGGCCTTCGTTTTGTGCTTTCCCTTGCTGCCCTGATTATAGGGACAGGGAGGAAGTAGGGGAAGACAGGCTCATAGTGCTCCTGATCCCTGTCTCTCTCTTGCATCACTTTCTGCTGGGTTTATATCGTTAGGGCCTTTGGGATATTCAAGGGATTATCTTGACTGTGGATCCTTTTAAATTTTGCTCTTGGCTTTAGCCACCCAGAAAGAGCACAGTAGATATGAAGGATTTAGGAGAGAGACCAGGAAGTGTACACAGGAAGACCTGCAACTTCTTGCCCTTTAGAAAAGGGCCTGTCCTGTCCAGCAAATGTGCCAAGGTCAGAGTGAGGATTGGGTGGAGGGAGTAGTTGAGTCCTGGAGTTTTCCAGTTTGTCTCCAGACCTTGTCTGTTCTAGTCTTTGACTTGACCCTGTTTTTCTGGCTGAGCCTGAGGAGCAGGGCTTTTCAGCTGGCTGGCCGGCCCTGGGTTGTCCTGGGCTCAGGGAGGGGTCCTAGCTTACATAGGGTGACAACTTTCTCAAAAGCTGGTGGGGAACAGAGGCAGCAGTGCCTCCTGATGTTGCATGTTTCTGGTGTCTGCACTGCTTTTGGACCCCATGTCCTGTGGCATGATTTCCTCCCTCTCTTCCCTGTTTCTCCCTCTTTACTGTGGTTCTCAGGTGGTTAAATCCTGCTGGCCCCTCTTGCACTTCACCCCACCCACCCAGTGCTCAGCAGTACTTCTCAGCTGGGCCTGTAAGCTTCCTGCCCTCCACTGCATGGGTGTACTCTGTCAGGAGACACTGCTCTCCTCCAGCCTCTTTATACTTTGCTGTTGTTGGACTCATCATAACAGTGCAGGTTTATTGAACATGTACCGAGTGCTGTACTAAAGCATTATGTACCACCCTGCTTTCCTGAAGAATAACTTTATGAGGAAGGTACTAGGATTGTCTCTGTTTTATGCTTAAGGAAATCAAGATTCAAAATGGGTAAGTACCTTGTCCACGGTCTCGGGTAGGAGTTACTGGGGTCAGAATTCAAATCTAGACCCCCCCCACCTACTAGATAGAAAAGTAAAAAGCAGCCTTTGAGCTGCAGAACAGATTTACCTTCCCAAGTAGCATTCTGCATGACTAATTGCTTCTCTCCAGTGACATAACAGGTCACTTGCAGATAGGCAACACACAGTTAGAAATGGCCCAGGCTGAAGGTGGTAGGAGGACCGTGTGAGGGAGTGAGTGTGTGCATATGTGGGCTGCCGGGAGAAGGCTTCCCACAGCACTAAAGCTGACACTAGTTGTGTGAAGAGCAGGTTTTGCAAAACAAACTCAGCCCCAGGCACTCGCAGGGAAGTAAAAGCTGTCCACATGTGAGTATGTGTTTTTCATCCAGCTCAGATATCCGTCTGATTTGGTTTCCTCTTTCTTGGTGCTTTATCTGGAGGCCACCCTGGCTGTGTATTTTGGCACTGCTGAAGTCATTAACTTACATGCGCCAGAGCTCTGAGGGCTTATGGGGGTGATCCACGTGGCAGCTCCCTAGGGCTCCTTCCTGGCCGAGTCTTTCCAGCATTCTACAGAGCAGCAGGAGTAGGGGCCCTGTGTGGCAATGTCAAAGAAAGCCATTTCTTGGCAGGAGGAGGCACTGCTGCTGTGCTGGGCAGCTGGGCGGACAGTCGGAGTGGGTGTGAGGCAAGTCTTGACATTCTAGGGACTGACCAACCATTTTATTACCAGGGCTCATGTAGAAAACCACTTAGTAAATCAAGGAGACAGTGTAAAGGTTAGGTGGTGGTAGTGTTGGAACCCTTTTCTCTGGCTGGGAGTCCTTCTGAGAGTTTTCTGCCCTCTGATCTTAAGGACATCATAGTTGTCTGCATTGTAGCCAAAATGCTCTTTCTCCTTTCTGCCAAGTATGCATATATGTGTGAGAGACGGTGAGTGAACACATTCTTTAGCAACATGGCTTTCTAGGAATTCATCTATAGATATTCCTCGTATTCTTTTCCAGTGTGTTTCACCCCCGGTGAGTCTGTTGCCTGAGAAATGGTTGGGAAGGAGCCAAGGGGACAGTGAAGTGATTGCTGATGGTATGGTCACCTTTGGGGATGGGAGTGAAAGATTTAGCAGCTCAGTAATAAGATTTAAAGTGACTGCTGTAGAGGGGGCTGCACTGATTGAGAGGGTCTCCTTTCGTGCTCACTATTGATAAGGGGAGCCAAGGCTCGGGGAGGTTAGTGCAGGGGCAGAACCACAATGACCCCACCTCTTTCCAGTTTTTGGCCAAAGACTTGATTAAAAACAGTGTTTGATGAAAGTCCCTGACTACAGCTGACCAGGGAGAGATGGCAGAAGATAGAGATGGTGAGTGTGAATCCACCAGGGCTGCACTGTTGTCAGTGGGAAGGGCTTCCCACCACTGACCCTCAACCTGTCCTCCCTGCCCTAGGGTAGCATGGGGGAGGTGGCAATGAGTTGACCCATTTCTGGACTTCTGGACACAGGTGAGTGCAAAGGGGCTGGGTGAAGCCCACCACCTCTCCAAGCCAGACTGTTCCTTGTTGCCTGGAGGTCTCCATGGCTGCCCTGGTCTTTTCTGGTTCACACTGAAATTCAAATGTTGTTTGAAATGGGAAGGCTGTTAGCCTGGCCGGGCAGCCTTTTATTTTAGAGAACATTTTGTGGCAGAATTTGATGGTCATAACATTTAAAAGCATAACTTGTTTTTTTCTGAAGCTGCTGCTGATCTGCTTATGGTCAAGCCTCTGAGGAGTCCAGCTTATGAGTCATCCAGAGTGACTGTCAGCCTGCGAGAGCCTGGGTCACCCTCTAAGGGTGGGCCTCTGCTGGCTCCTGCACCATTTTCTTGATTCTTGTTTTTTCTTTTCTTATAGTATTAAGGGACATCAGCGAAAGAGGGAGGGACCTTGAACAGATTTTATCTCAGTACATTACGTTCGTCAAGCCTGCCTTTGAGGAATTCTGCTTGCCAGTGAGTTGTGTTCTTGGTTTGTTTTTTCTGAATGTAGAACTTTAAAAAATCTTTTTAGTTCAGGGTTTGACTTTTTCTTTTGGGTGGTGCTGGGGTTTGAACTCGGGCCCTCACACTTGCTAGGCAAGTGCTCTTAACACTTGAGCGATAACCCCAGCTACAACTTAAAATTTAATGATACATCTATAAGTTTGTAAGTTGCTGCAGTTCCTCCCGAGATTGAATCTCACTTCTCTCTCTGAGTGACCCCCTGTCCTGAAGCCTCAAGAGAGGGCAGTCTAGGCTCTTGATCTATCTGGCCATTCTTCCGTCTGGTATTTAGGGTTGTGGCAGTCTTTGCTGGATGTGCAATTCCCAGCAAGTTCTGCACTTCTTGCTGGATGGGGCAATGATGTCAGACCTTATTTGAAGATATGTCAGGTCTGTGGATAGTCCCCACTCAGTTCCTCAGAAGAGTGGATTGCTTGTATAGGCAGAACTCTGCCACAGGTGATCCCTTTGCAACCTCTTCTGGTCTCTGAATCAGCCCCATTTGGGAAGTACTGCGCTGTACTGGAATAAGCTTCCTTATATCCATCCTGGCTCATGCTTGTCAGTTCTCAAGGGGGGCATTTGGAGGTTCTCTAGTAAGATGGCTTTCATAGAAGGACGTGGGGAAAGAGTAATGTCTCACCTTTTGGTCCTCAGCCAAAGAAACACCTCCCCTTCCTAGGGTAAGACTGGAAGGTCATGTGAGAGGAGACCACCAGAGAATGAGGTGTGATGTGGTGGGGAAAGACATGGCACATGGCCTACTTTTAGAAGGATGAGTATTTAACTTAGGAGAATCTACCCCTGAGCCATTTTGTCTTCTCCAGCTTGGCTAAACCACGGTCTCACTTCTTAATTACTTACAATTAAGACAAACAGAGGAAGGGAGGGAGAGGTTGGCGTTTAACCTGGTTTTTTGAGACTGGATTCTGGGAAGGCCTTGAGAATAGGTTTAGGGTAAGAATGGCTATGGGACCTTCTCTGTTCATCCTAATATTTGACCTCTGTCTCTCTCCTTTTCTAAAAAAGTATGTTCCCAGCCTGTCTCTGTTTCTTTAAGTCTGTTAAGTAGGTTTTATGTCAAACCAGACTTGACTTTTGTTTCTGACTGGGGACAGGTGGACTTTCTGAGTAAGCCTGACTAACCTTGTTGCTTTGTTCATTGGCGTGAGGAGGGTTGGGTTACAAGATTAGGTTTCTGGGAATAGGCTGGAGGGGACTGAGGAGCTATGAAATTCTTTCCATCTGTATACCTATCTGAGGACCTTCCTGCTCTTTTTTTTTTTTTAGTGTTCCTCCATTTTGTTTGCCGTTTGTTTATTTACTTATTTATCCATTCATTCATTTATTTATTTTTTTGAGACAAGTTCTTGCTGTGTAGCCCAGGCTGTCCTCAAACGTGGAACCTTTCTGCTTCAGCTTCCCAAGTGCTGGGATTACAGATGTGCACACGACATCTGAGTGTTTGCCCTACATTTTGGTTTTTTTTTTTTTTTTTAATTGTTTTATTATTCATATGTTCATACAAGGCTTGGGTCATTTCTCCCCCCTGCCCCCACCCCCTCCCCTACCACCCACTCTGCCCCCTCCCTCTCCCCTCCACCCCCTCAATACCCAGCAGAAACTATTTTGCCCTTATTTCTAATTTTGTTGAAGAGAGAGTGTAAGTAATAATAGGAAGGAACAAGGGTTTTTGCTGGTTGAGATAAGGATAGCTATACAGGGAGTTGACTCACATTAATTTCCTGTGCATGTGTGTTACCTTCTAGGTTAATTCTTTTTGATCTAACCTTTTCTCTAGTTCCTGGTCCCCTAATCCTATTGGCCTCAGTTGCTTTTAAGGACTTCCTGCTCTTTTTAACTTAATAGTAATAATACAAAGTGGATTCCTTGTTGGATATAAACCAGAGTTGACTTCCACTCTTCTGCTGTTTAACTTCATTGTAGTGGAGCTAAAGACCCTGGGAAAGTGTTTTCTTGTTCTCACTGTCTAGCCACTTTTTTCTCAGGGGAAGACCAGCTCAGTCACGGTAAGCCAGGAACTGGGACTTGATAAATACTCCCAGAATTTAAGTTGGGGTTGGGACCTGATACAACTGTATGTCAGCAGTGTAGTGTCCACGCTATACAGAGTGGGGATGCTCACGCATAGAAGTTATATGCCATATGTAAAACTCAAGTTATATGCCAGGTCACAGTTTTTTGTAGAAGGGTCCACAGAATCTCACTAAATGATAAAAACAAAATACACAAAAAGGAGTTTGTCTAATTATGGCTTTACTTGTTAAAAATGGTAGAATAGAGCCAGTGAAACTCATCATCAGTGGGGATTGCTTTTTCTTTCTTTATTCTGGGGCAAGGAGTCAAGAGCGTCACCTTTCAGACTGAAAAAGTCCAAGGTGAACCAATCTCCTTTTAAATTTGGGGTTTTCTAATTCATATTTTTTCCTAGAGTTGGAGACATTTATGTGTTTGGTTTCAAAGACCATGTTCTCTGGGCAGGGTGTTCAGTGAAACGATCTTAAGCATTAATAACAAGAACTCAAGCTGATCTGTTATAGTCTGGATGAAGTAGCTAGAAATCCAGGGTGGATAATTACAAGTTGAATTACAAATTGGTTTTGAATTAACCACTCAGTTGGGACCACTTTCCCTCACTGACACATAAAAGCCCTCATTCCTTATTTGTCATTGCCTGCCTCTCTTCTTCCATTTGCATTTCAGGCAAACTAGTCATTTCTTTGGGCTTCATATCTCTAGATGAAGTTATATTATAAACAGTATATTTGAAGTCTCAAGCTGTACCCAGAGGCAGTCTGGTCCTTCCCTTGCATCCCTTTGGAGCAGGGCTTGGGCCAGTTTGTCCCTTAATTGCTCTGTTAATGCATTATAAATATCTTTCTCCACAGACAAAGAAATATGCTGATGTGATCATTCCTAGAGGTGCAGACAATCTTGGTGAGTCCCATTTGGGTGCCCTCTGATGGAGGGAAACTTCTGCCTGTTGTCAGTTATAGTTGGGGCAGGATGTGACCAAACGAGGCTCTGCAGTCTGTGACTGTGAGTCAGAAAGATATTTCTACCTACATATCTGGTCTTGGGAACAGGCCTGTGGCATATGTGTATGGGTACAGAGTGAACATGTGCTCTCCAGCAAAAATAGAGCACTAAGACTATTTTCTGCTGTCACCCCCAAGAATGACACTTGGATACCTTGTTTCCGAGACCATCTTTCAGCAAAAATGGACTTCTTCTTAATCTATTTTAGAATAATCTGCCAACCTGGTAGCCCCTAAAAGGAGCTGGTTGGTTCCAGTATTTTATGTATTCTTTCTGGGAAGTATGAGTATCTCCAGACTTGACATAGTATAGCAGAACTGTCCTGTAAAGTAACTGAACCATGCTTTCTCATTCTTTGTATATCTCATTTTCCCTCCTTTTAAAAAGTGTATTAATTTACTGAGCCACTTGGGTTTGATCACAATAACCATTTCACCATGTTATTTTAAGAATAAGGACTTTCTCATTCACAGCCATAGTGCAGTTGTCAAATGCAGGAAACATACCATTGGTAAGTCTCCTTTAACCTGGAGATGTTCCTTAGCTTGTCTTTGGTTTTCACGACAGTGACGTTTTTTATGAGCAAGGCCCATTTTTTGGTGGAGTGACTCTCAATTTGGGTTTGTCCTATGTTTCCTCATGATTGGAGTCAGCTTACATGGTCTGGAGAGATGTCCCATGATTGGTGCTGTGCTGTGTCAGTGCATCATGCCAGAAGGCACTGATTGGTTGGTGGAGGTATTTAGCTTATTTCTGATGGTAATATAAGACAGCTGTACCTCAGACTTTTTTTGGGGATGAAAGGGCCTTCCATAGGGTTGCCCTCTCTTGAGATGGAAGCTGGTAGGTTCCTTAGTCAAAGGGCCCATCACTAATTAGTGGTATCAGAACCCTGGCTAGTCATCAGGTCTATGGAATTTTGACTAATTGCTTTATCCAGTGAGGGACTGTGATATGAAACCCATTCATTAAGCATTAATGAATAAGATAAGCATTGCCTACCTTATTTCTTAGAGTACTTCCACAAAGGAGATCAAAAACCCTAGTCCCAGGCACTGGCAGGCCGCCCTCAGGTGTTGCCTCTGGTTCCTGTGTGCTGGTCCACGCAGACAGATCTCTGCACTCACAGCGCTGTGCATGTGCCCTCGCCCCTCCCTTCCACACCCTAACACTACTGGTCTCTGCCCCACAGTGGCCATCAACCTCATCGTGCAGCACATCCAGGACATCCTCAATGGAGGGCTCTCCAAGCGGCAGACCAATGGCTGTATCAACGGCTACACCCCTTCACGCAAGAGGCAGGCGTCAGAGTCCAGCAGCCGGCCCCATTGACCCCATCTTCTTCAGAACCCAGCCCTTAGCTACAAGAAACAGGAGGGGCCAGCACGCATCATCTGTATATACCTTTCCTATGACATTACTATATTTAAGAAAACACCATGGAGATGAAATGCCTTGATTTTTTTTTTTTCCTTTTTGTACTTTGGAACAGCAAATCAAACAGAACTTGACCCTAAGCTTCAGTGCTAGACGGTGCCAACTACTACTGGTGATGTCTAATTATGAGTCCTACATGTAAGCAGTTATAAATACACATATATACATATATATAAAAGGATCTATTTTTGTGTAAATGTACAGGTACTGTAAAGCTGTTTGCCGTAAGTATTCTGCAAGGGCCTGTGCTCGTGTGTTGGCCTGGAGGTCCACTGAGATCAGTGGCCCATTGTGTTCCACGTGGGGCCGGTGCAGGCATCTGGGGAGCCGGGGAGTGGAGGAGGGTGGCTGACGTCCCATTGCTCTTAGTTTCTGTGGAGCTCAATGGACTGTCTCTCCTCTCAGATGCCACCTCCTTGGAGCTGGAGCTTGATAATGTGTGGACGAGAGATACTCTTGTCTTTTTCGTTTTTGGGCTGAGATTCGGTAAGATCTCAACTCAAAAATCAAACTCAGGGAAGAGGCCCACTGAGGAGAGCAAGTATTCTGCATTTCTTCTTGCCCTGTTCCCCACCTCTGAAGGCTTGGATTGCTCAGTGATTCCTTCCTTACCCTGCGGCTTCTCACAGTGCTGCTTCTCCTTTCCCGGTGAGGATTTTACGGGGACCTCTCTTCCTGAGTGGAAAGAACGAGGAAAGATGGGAGGACACTGTGACCATGGGAGTGTCTGAGGCACCGATCCTTTGCCTCCTAGGGAAGCCCCTAGTCCAGTTCCTTTGGTGTACTGTAGAATACCGAGCCTCCCCTTGCACTCTGGGGTTTGGTTGAGGATATCTGGTAATGGACTGCTGGTGGTGAGGTGGTGAGGGAGCTCTGCCCATGTAGAGGGCAGTAGGTTTTAGCCCTGTGACCTGGAGATTTGCACTGAGATGAGGACAGTGTATACCAGTCTCCTGGGATCCCCTAGAAGCAGCAGAGCCAGGATCATTCACTTAACTTTGCTATGACCATGTGAGTATGGCCACTGACAAGCAAGAAGGGACTAGGAGAAAGAAAATTTTTTTTTTTTTAAAGTATTCAAAAGGAGGATATTTAAATCATGGGTACCTAAGTTGGAATCGTAGATGGGGAGAACACTTGGGTTGGAGATTGCCATCTTCCCCAAGATCTTCCTTTTGGTGGAATCTTCCTGCCTGGAGGAAGCACAGATTCCTGATGTGCTGGGAGGAGGACTAGAGGAACTTAGGGACAAGTGAGGTAGAGCAGGTCTGAGGTAGAGTCCCTAAGCATTAGTTTTTAGCTGAGGGAAAAGCCAGCTGGTCACCCTAGTGCTTCTTCCACTGTGGCTGCCTATGCCTGGAACATTCTGGAGCGCCTTCTCCCTGCATGGCTCTCAGAGCCTGTTTGAGCTGTTCATTTGAATTAGGCTGCTTCTGTCTCTAGGCACACCAGGTTTCCCTCTCAGACTCAGCACCATCCAGTCTGATTCTCCTTTTCTGGATTCAATTTGTCTCCAAATATCTTGGTATTTCAAAAAATGTCAAGCTTGATCCTTAAAAGCCTTCCCTGTGATATCAGGAGGCTGCTGTGCAGGATCTATGGGGGAGTCCTTGTGACCCAGCTGCTGCCAGAGCAAGGGACGCTCCCAAGGGGGCCTGCTTTGAAAGCTGGTACTCAGCAGGGTGGATGTGTCCTGAAGTGTGTGTTTCAGGGTCTGTCTCTTTCTTCTTTGTGGTCATGCCTATACAGTTCTGAGATGAAGGGTGGATGGCAGGTCTGGGTTGGGATCCTGAGGACACAGGGTCCCTGGCCTTGCTGAGGCTGCATGTGCTCAGGTGAGTCCCATCCCTGTCCAGGAGAGCCTCGGCCTTTCAGTGGGTAGCACGTTCAACTATACTTGAAGCTCCCAGGTGCCAAACCATTTAGTGCCTTGGCTGTCTATCCCACTGCCTTGGAAGATGGATTCTTCTCATCTCTGAGCCTTTACTTACTTAGCCGCTTCCTCATCTACCTGTGGTGTTGGGACCAAGCCTGCAGGATCTCTGAGCAGCCCACTCCTAGTTAGGACATAGCTCTGGGGCTGCCCTGCCCTCATCCTCTTGAGAAATGGTCACCAGTTCTTGATGGCTTGGCTAGGAGCACTGGGCAGTGCTCACTGGGTGCTGTGACATACTGTGTCTGGGGCAGGGAAGGGATGGGAGGCTCTACCCCTCTGTTGCAACCCAGCTTTTACCCAGTTGTATATCTGAACTTGAGCTTTCCCTAGGACACATTGTAGTCTGAGTCTTTGAAGAGCCTCTGGATTTCCAATTCCACTGGGGAGTCGGGGGTAGATTAGACCAGAAACTATGGAACTTGTCAGCTGGGTACTGTTAGCTGTTCAGGGAGAGGCACAAATGAGCTGAACAGGACAATGTTAGTCACATGCGCTCAGGACTCCCTTGGCTTCACAGCCACCCAGCGGTGCTTGCTTCCTGTCCCTGCTCATGTGTTGTCCGTGAATGTTGTTCAGGAAACAAACATCCAAGCCTTGGTGTCACAGGAACCCTGATCTCACACCCTGTAATACTAATGGGACTTCTGCTGACGTCCTGGGCAACCTGAGACTAGTATGAGCAAAGATGAGAATCTGCCCAAGAAGGGCACAAGTATTGTGACTTCAGATGTCCTTTTGATTTGCAGTGGATAGGGTAAGACTTGGGGGAGGTGGTGTGTTGAGTGGACTCTGTGCAGAACAGGGCAGGGGAGGAGTCTCCAACTCACCTGTCCTCCAAACTAACACTCCTGACTTTGGATGCTCAGTGATCGGGGGAGGCTGGTTCCAGCCTCTCCTGGGTTTGGCATGGATCCTTGGGTCAGTATGTCTAGGGTCAGACTGGAGACTTATGTGCTCCTCAGAGCAGTTGGGAAGCAGAGAGCTCTGAGCCTCTTGGTTGGTGTACTTACTTGCCTTGCAATTTCTTTGAATTAGCAACCTTGACCCATACTAGCGCCCAGAACTGTTGGAGGGAAAAAGCCTCTTGCAGGAAAACGCCCCTGGAGTATGTGCCTGTCAAAATCAGGTGCCAAGGAATGCGTTGCTTTAGGCAAGGCTGGGGTTGGTCCTGGGGTACAAGACAGAGCTTCTGAAATGACTACCTGGCCTTCTCCACTTCCTTTCCCCTTTACACTGTTCTCCAGGTGGAGTGACAGGGATTGGTGCAGGGGGAATTCTAGCATCAGACAAAACAAGGAAGAGAACAGGTTGGGAGAATGATAGGAACACATCTGGAGCTTGAAGTCCCCTTTCAAACCTTCTGTGCCCCCCTGGTGCCAGGTGCAGGTGATGGGGAGTACCCAGCTAGGCCTGCCTCAGGACCCAGGGTGAGCAGCTAAGAAAAGACTTTGACTTTTCTTTCCCTTTAAGATGCTTGCTCTTCCCCTTTTGCATTTTACTACCCTACATTTATTGTTAGAAACTACAAACCCCACCACGTATTACGTACTTTGCTGTAAATAAAGACAATAAAAAAGATCCACCTCTTGCCTTCTTTGTGGTTATCTGGTCTGGAGCAGCCACCAAGGCTGACTGACTGGGAGGTCCAAGCAGTGGAAGGAGGCTCTTACCTTGCATTTACCAAGGAGAGGTGGTTGCCTAGTCTGCTGGGGTTTGCCTCACAATCCTAGGATGTGTGGGGGACAGGCCCGTGACATCAGCTGAGCGTGGATACTGGTGAGATTGGTGGGCTGGCACTTCTCATTGAACAGGAAGACTGGGCTACAGTTTTGGGGGGTCTTTGTTTCTTGGATCTTCCTGCTCTATTCCCTCTGATGTCATCCAGGTTATGCAACATCCACCTTCCCTGCCTTCCCAAGGCAGCACCCCTTCCTCCACTTCAGCCTTGAAAATGAAAACAAACCTAAGTATAGTAAACTTTTGAAAGTAGAACATGATAGATGGAGGAGTTTACATAACATGCAAGCAATTCAAGTTGGGTTCACAAGTACACTGTATTCTGGAATGATGAATGAGTGAGCTGAGCATATAGGGGTATCTGCCCTTGTTTTAAAAAGAAAAACCTACACCAAAGATTTAAAAATAATTGGCTTTCATTCTCTGCACCCTAGCCCCTGCCAGATCTCCACTTTATAGCTTTTCTTCATCTCCACCCATTGCCTGGCATGCATCTAGGAATTTAGCAGGTTGCTGTGAGTTTTTGTTTGGGGTTTGAACTCAGGACCTCATGCTTGCTAGGTATGCTCTCTTATTATTTGAGTCACGTCTCTACTCCCTCCTGCACCATCCCCTCTTGGTCCTTAAAATTTTTTGAAGGAGAAATTTTAAATTCAATCCATTTGATGTATTTCAAAAAGCTTCAGGACTTTTCTTCATTAGTGAAAAAGTTAGAGGTTTAATTCCATCCCCCAAAAAATCAGCAAATGCAAACATTTTCCTGAAAGTCACATGTAGGGTGCATTCTAGAAAAGAGGAGGGGCAAGACAGCTTCCACCCACTTTCATGAGCTTCATCAAATACTGGATCTACTCACAGGTAGAGAGAAAAGGCAACTTTTCAAAAGGAGCATGTTACTGAGTGAGGCATTCACTATACTCCTTCCTAAGCACCAGGTAGAGAACATGCTTTCTAAACTAGGTCTGTGGGATGAAATGTGGAACTAATCCATTCTTCCCTAAAGTCTGTCCACTGGTTAATGAATTAAAGAAAGCAAGACTAAAGAAATTTCATTGTTCCCAAAAAGGAAAAACAAAGCAATGAAAAAAAATCTCTTGAGAGATCCCAGATTACTCTCTAGGATGGAACCAGTGAGCAGTTTCACCTTCAATTAGTCTTTTGTGGAGTTGTCACAAGCATGCCTTGCTTTTTTTTTTTTTTTTTTCCATCTGAAAAAGGCTTTATTAGGACTTAAGTTGCAACATACGGGTGAACAGTACTATGACATGATGAAGGTGAGAGGAGTACTGCTTATATAGGAAAAAAGACGTGAAACTGGGCATGGTGGTACATAGCTGTAATCCCAGCATTTGAGAGGCTGAGGCAGGAGAATCAACAGTTTCAAGCCAGAAACAAACAAAACACCCAGAAAGGAAAAAAGAAACAGAACAGAAAAGAAACAGAAGGCAATGCCTTGCTTTTAAACCAAGTTAAAAAAAAAACAAACTAGTATTGATCACTTTTCT